TGATACGTACACGAGAGAAACTTACCTATAACATAAGTGCAATCTAAGATTCAACACCAGTATCTCAAGTACACAAAGAAAACTTACTTACACCATAAATTCCAGTTGCATGGTTGTTCTTCTCTAATTACAGTGCTCATAAATGATAATATTATTATTTATTTTGTAATCTTTTGCTGTGAATCCAAAAACCAGTCGATCCAACTTTGCAGAAGTCCACAATGTCATCAAGGTTTGATTGAACTTCCCGATGCCCCATCTATCCTCTTCAACTTAACCGTCCAAACTCATTTATCTTCTGAAAATAAATTCACAAAAAAAGGAAAATACATAAAAACCAGTATTATACATGTATATATAGTACTCGTTATTTCTTTTTCCCGTATAAATCCAAAAGTGCTTCTGAGTCCTAAGTCGTCCAAAAGTGCTTCTGAGTCGTTCATCGCTTGTTTTGACGACCAAGTGCGTTGACCGGGAGTTCTGATTTGGTTAACCTCACTTCTGCTCCGCGCAGATCATTCACACAAAAATCAATCTCCGAGTCATTACACGCTGGATAATCCCCACCTGTCATTCTGACAATCAAAGAAAATAAAAACAAAAAAGATAACTTGATAAATAAAAAATAAAAAGTTAATTTTATTTTCCCATTATGTCGTAAACAGAACTAAGATCGTCTGTTTCGAATCGATTTTTTTGTTTTCTAATTTTTATGTTCAAAGTTGACGAAGTTAAAAGATTCAGACCGTTTATTTTATATTATACAATGCTTATTATTTATATAGCACAATTAAGAATCTGAATCAATTTTTTTAACGGCTCAAATCTCTCGTCATTTGGTTTTGGATAAGGAGAGAGAAGATTTTTCAGTGTCATTGGCACACGAAGTGATACATTACTTGTTATTATATAAATTGTATGATATGTGTGTTAAAAAGTTAATAACTTAAAAAATAAAAATTTCTCATCACTTATATAAAAATACGTAATGTACTACTCGTGTTGCTGTTATAATTAAAAATTTATCTGCAGAGAGAGGATATCGATACGTCTGGTCCTTACTCTGACGTGGTCGGGGGCTTTGTCGTCAGTTTAATCCTCTTCCCATGTAATTCGGGTCCTATAAAACTCCTCGTGTTCCGCTCTCTCAAGCACCTCATCAAACATTCCGATTGTTTCTAATTTTAGCCTCCTCCTTCACACGTTATAATCTCTCTCCAAATTCTGTGAAACTTTTCTGGATAATCTCCTTTTTTAGGTAATCTTCATTAATCCTCTCTGTTAATCTCAGATTTACATTCCTGCTTTTGCTTATATATATGCTCTTGTTTTCAACATTTCCTAATCAGGTTCAGCTTCCATTTTTTTTCTTTTTGATTAAGTTTATGCTGTTTTGAATTCGAGCGTTATTCTAATCTAATCTAAATTACGGGAGGAGATTTGAACTTGAGTAGGGGAGCACAGTGGTTTAGCCAATTTGGCTACGGCCAGGTCTGGATATAGTTTATGCTTTAATTATGCATAATTATTATGTTTCACTAATCCCATCTTAGCTAAGCTAACCCAAATCGACATATTTGCATTTCATTCTGATTTGTTCAAGATATTGGTATTTTTACGTGTTCAGATATCATTCAAATTTTCTGTTATCGAGAGTGTCAATCACGTCGGAGAATTAAAACTTTGCCTGCTAGTTTGAATGATAATATTAGAGCAGTTTTAGCTCTCAGGAGCTGAAATTTGTGTATATTTGCAAACGTTTCGAGGCTGTATCTTCTTTATCGGTTTGGGATTTGGGTTGATGATTTTCTGCATTGGTTTTGATCGAGATATTACGTTTCGTGATCGCATCATTATCTAATTGTGATTGGATCTGGTTGTCTTGAGCTCCATTTTTATTGTATCCTGAAAGGATGATTAGATCTGGTACTAAAATTAAGATTTTTTTCAATCTGATTAGCTAAACAAAGTGGGTAGGTAGGTTTCTTCCTTAGCCCGTCTGGACTAGTTCTGCTGCCGGCCTTGACTACAAAGGCCGCCGGTGCTTGTATCAATCTTTTGTGTTCATGTCTTTGTTTCTGAAGTTTTTACAAAGTCAGTGTCACAAATATAGACACTTCCCCCGCAAGTAATATACGCGAATTGAATGCGGAGTATAGTTTTTTTTTTTTTTTTTTTGGAATTTCGGTTGTTGCTGTCTGAATCACCGATCACTGCCTTGTTGTTTGAAGTGCTAAAATTGTGTTGTGGCAATATTCGAGCTGAATCTTCTGACTCATTTGTGATTCATTCAGGTGATTATCCACTTGGACATGTTATGGAAGTTACTGGGGGCTAAAACCTGCCAAGTATATAGCATCGACTGGTACGATTTCTTCGACCTATCTTACTCCTCGACCGCAGATGAAATGTTTATTGTTTTGTTCCTGTTCTTGAAACTAGATTCCGCTAATTTTGCTCCGCGATATGCAGGTACTTGGGCAATGTGTGGAGCAAGAAAGAAGTTAAGGAGCAACTACTTTGGGAACAGAACTTTTGTTATGGAATTTGAACCCTGTCGACACAGAAAATTTCCTGCGTTTACTGCTTGTGTTGTGCGTTTTGCGACATATTTTATGCCTTGGTCTTGTAAAATTCCTATAGGTGACGGATATCATGAACTCCTTTAATCAAAAGTCTGCTTTAAAAAAAAAGAATACGCATTGTTGGGAGATACTTAACCGATCATAGGGGATATTACCTGCATCTCGTTTGACATGCCTATCTTCTCAATCTACAAGATGCCGGCTTTTGTGAGTGAAAAGAAGAGGTTCAAAGATCCAAATACGGGCCTATCCAATTCAGTCAAGCAAGATACACCAATTCGTAAAGAAAGCTATCGCAGTTTGACTTCTCTGGTTGTAGATGATTTTGACAGCCCCATTCTGCCCGGATTGCCAGATGACATAGCAAAATATTGCCTTGCGCTTGTTCCTCGTTCAGACTTCCCTACAATGGGTGGTGTGTGTAAGAAATGGAGGTATTTTCTTCAAAGCAAAGAACTCATCACTGTGCGGCGATTAGCTGGGTTGCTTGAGGAGTGGCTCTATGTGTTGACAACTGATTCCGAAGGAAAGGAAAACCACTGGGAGGTTTTAGATTGCCATGGACATAAGCACCATGTTCTTCCTCCCATGCCTGGTCCAACGAGATCTGGGTTTGGGGTGGTGGTTCTCAATGGAAAGCTTCTTGTAGTTGGTGGATATTCTGTGATCACCGAGACCACCGTTGCATCAGAAGATGTTTACCAATATGATTCTTGCCTCAACAGGTTTGTTTTGTGTCCATTTTCAGTGATCAGTCTCTTCCTCTAATTTCCTTTCTTCAAAACCTTCATAAATGTATAAGAATGCCCCGTATTTTCCCTCACCATGGCTTCTTTCGCCGACATATTAGACTCTAACGAATGTTGTATGTTAAATGTGGTTCTCTGCACAAGTTTAACTTCATAAGAATCCAATCTTATTGTTTGTTCGTAATTGTAGGTGGGGCAAATTGGCAAACATGAATGTTGCTCGACATGACTTTGCTTGTGCGGAACTAAGTGGTATGATTTACGCAGTTGGAGGATATGGTATAGATGGCAGCAGTCTATCCAGTGCCGAGGTGTACAATCCTGACACCGATACTTGGACCCTGATAAGCAGTATTCGCCGCCCCCGCTATGGCTGCTTTGCCTGTGGATTTGAAGGAAAGCTGTATGTTATGGGCGGAAGGTCAAGCTTCACCATTGGTAATTCGAAGTTTGTTGATGTCTACGACCCTGAGAGTCGCACCTGGTGTGAGATGAAGAAGAATGGTTGTGTCATGGTCACTGCTCATGCTGTGCTGGAAAAGAAGCTGTTCTGTTCGGAGTGGAAGAACCAGCGCAAACTTTCGATTTACAATCCCTACGACAATTCTTGGGAGATGGTACAGATTCCGTTGACAGGAAGCACAAGCATTAAGTTCCGATTTGGGACACTGGACGAGAAACTTTTGTTGTTGTCGCTCGAGGAGGAGCCTGGTTATCGTACTTTATTGTACGATCCAAATGCAGCACCAGGATCAGAGTGGCAGACTTCTGAGGTAAAGATGTCTGGTCCGTGCTTGTGCTGTGTTACAATCAAGGTGTGAAACTGTAAGGTGTGCCGAAAGGCAAAGGTTAGAGGACGTTCGTAAGACTCTGAAAATCAGTTGGTGAACTTCTTGTATTGACTGGATTTTAGGACACTCTAGTGTAACTGTATTTGTTTGTTCCGTTGCCCGGATTAGGACTCTTGGGTTCAGCTTCGTGCATTGCTCGGAGTTGAGTCTACTTTAATCGTGTATTAACTTCATTGCATTCGATTATATTCCTGTCGGATCACTCTGTGGCATCTCTTTTTTATCTTCTTGAGATTTTCAATCTGATACTCCGATTTTGATCTAAATACGGTTCAACTACAATAACTCGATTACAAATGAATCAGATTTATTTTTTAATAAATTTTTTGTAAAAAAGTATTAGGCGAGATTAGCTATTCGTCAATAGTCTCGTCGAGGCACCAACCCTCCTCCAAAGAACCAAAGGAGAAAGGATTGTTGCACCTAGGTTTTCTACGTCCCCCTCAATTGGATTTTACAAATCTACATTGGTTAATCTCTCATTGATACATAATTGTCTTCAACTAACATTAAACATAAAATTAACCACATCAGGTGGCTCAGTGGTAAGGGCGCAGGATTGCGGCTCCAATAAACAAAAAATGTGAGAGGAACCGGGTTTGATGTTTCGAACTGATGAGTCTGCTTGACTGTGGCACGGGTAGAGTGAAATTTCTCATAGCCTCTCTAAGCCTGAAATGGGTGAATAACGCCGTCTTACCATCAATTGTCCTCTTAAAAAAAATATGAAAAAAACATTAAACAAAAAATTATCTTTAATAAAAAATAACCCCCAAAAATAAAATTTTTAATAAAAAGGAGCCCTAAAAAATTTGAAATTAAAAAGATCCCCAAAATCGTTTGACTAATGTGAAGGAGAGGGAAAAAGACTGGGAGAAAAAGCGGGGACAAAGAAACCAAAAGCAGGCACAGGCAAAGCGTCGAACAGCGGAGCTACACCACTCTCTCTCTCTCTACATTCAACAGCGAGTGAGATCAGCCGCAGCGGCGACAATGTTCGGAGCTCAATCTTCGTCGTCCCCCTTCGGCACGCCTTCGTCAACCCCAGCGTTCGGCACGCCGTCGTCGACCCCAGCCTTCGGGACGCCGTCGTCGACCCCGGCTTTCGGAACGCCGTCGTCGACCCCGGCATTCGGGACGCCATCTTCGACGCCATCGTTCTTTACTCCTTCGACCCCGGCCTTTGGAACTCCGTCGACGTCTGCATTTTCCGCCGGTGGCTTCGGCGGCTCCTTATTCAACACTCCGTTCTCTTCTCAAACTCAGCAGCAACAACAACAGCAGCAAACGCCGTCGTTTCAGCAGCCTCAGTCTGCTGGCGGCTTTGGGTTTCAGGCTCCGTTCTCTGCGCCGCAGCAGCCGACGCCCTTCCCTAATTCTCAATTGACGACTCAGATGGCTCCTGTCGCTCCTCTCCCTTTCTCTCTCGCCGATCGCGATATTCAAGTAAGCATTTCCCTTTTTTATTTTATTTTTTATTTTATTGATGATTCAGTGCCAAAACCGTTGATGCTTATTTTGGTTTTCTCTGCTAGGCAATTGTTGATGCTTACAAGGACGAGCCTGGAAACCCTAAATATGCTTTTAAGGTTCTTTTCTAATTTTTTTTTTTTTTTTTTTTTTTTTTTAGATTTTCGAATGCATTTGCTTCACGCCCATGATATCTGTACCTGTCTGTTTGGTTCCTGAGAAAATGACAGTAAGGTTGTGAATTTTGAAGGTGCTGAATCGGTTAAGTTCATGTTTGATTTAAAACCCTAATTTATTATTTTCCTCTGCTTTTGAGAAACCTAGTTTCGGAGATTCGTGTGAGAAATGAATGACTGTCTTGATTTTTACAGCATTTGCTGTTTAGCGTAACTGATCCACAGTTCAGGGTGAAGCCTGCTGGTGTATCGGATGTGAGTTTATTGTTCCCCTTTTATTTCCTAGGTGCCAGTGGGATTATCTGGCTTTTTTTTCTGGCTAAGTTTGGAGAATAGTTTGCATTGCCAGATAATGTGGGCAGAGGCTATGGCGAAGCTTGAAGGTCTGGAAAGTACTGACAGGGAACGGCCTGTGGCCTCAGCTTGTTCAGGGTTTTAAAGATCTCTCTCAACGCCTGAAGGTAATTGTTGTTAGTTTGAAGCATAGAGATATTGTTTAGAGTATTTTTGTGTGTTGTTTCTGTTGTTGCTACTTGGAAATAGTACATTTAAGTAATATTTTGAGTTTTTTTGTTGCTAAAACTTAAATTCACTGGTTGGTGTTCGTGAATGCCAATTTTGGATTAAGATGTTATTGACCAGGGATATTTATGAGTTCTGAGATGGCAGTTACTGAGACTTGGTAAACCATTCTGTAAAATTGTTGGTTACCCACCAGAGTTGCTGTCACCATGTTTGTCATTGGATCACTGCTATTATGCAAGTATTAAACTAATATGGGGTTTGAGTAGAAAAAAATTGCAAGAACCAGTTGGTGACACTGACGTATATATTTGGAGAAATTCGTTATCATTTACTAATGTCTAATGTTGTCAAACTGAATTGATGCAGCTCCAAGATGAAGTCCTTCTTTCAGATGCTGAGAGATTGCAAATGACCCAAAGCAATGTCAAGATGGTACCTTTTATTGTTCAAATGTCCATCTACTATTACCACATAATTTGAAAATGGGTCTCACGTCTTTTGCCATTTGCAGCTTCAAAGGCATTTTCAAGCTGACACTCTTCCTTGGATCGAAAGAATGAGACAAAAAGAACAAGGTCTTCAAAGGCGCCTTTTGAGGGTGGGTACACTTTCTCCAATATATTTAAAAAACTGTAAATAGTGAGTAAGATGGGTTTCATCAGTACCTTGTAATTTTCTAGCCTACGTTAAGCTAAAAGCTTCACATAGTGATGAAGTAAAATAAGGTTCAGACCTCATTGTCCTTTATTGACCGTGTTGATTTTGAAGTTGGCTTAGAATAAAATACCGTCATTGCAATCTGGCCCTGTTACTTACAGTGCTTAACCGACATCTAGAAGGCCGGATTTATGACTGTTGTTTGCTTGGAGGGTTTAAATCATGTTTGTGCAGGTAGCTTATGCATTTAGTATTTTGCCAAGTGTTTTTGACATCTTTGTTCTCATTTGTTATTCCAAAAGGTGATGAGAATACTGGAGGCACTAGAGGGAAAGGGTTTCCGACTGCCTTTAATGAAAGGTGAAGTAGAATTGGCCGAGAAGTTAGCTGCAGTTACAAGACAGGTACGCTTATTATTATGCTCTTTATCCCTTTTATGTGCATCCTACTCTTTGTCTGTCATTGGGTGAAGATACCTAACAAGCAGATGGATTTCCAGCTGAAAGGATCGGGAGCTGAACTTTCTAGGAGGGTACAAAACCTATTAACCATATCCCGTGTCCAAGAGAATTCTATTGGTGTCGGTGGTTTAGGTTATCTTCCAGGATCAACCAAAATACACGAACAGAGTCTTGCTGCTATGCAAGAGGTAAGAGCAGACTAGTTTGAAACACTTCCTTTATATAATAACATCAGAATTGGGTAAATGAGTGTACTTTTTATGTGGAGCAGGTGTTACAGCAGCAGACGGAAGCTATTGCGAGACTCGGCAATGTTTTGAAGCGAGATATTAGGGATATGGAGATTATAATGGCTGAGGATATGGAAACAACACAGAACGGGAGCTAAGACGGGAAAATGAAACAAATTGTTGGTTTGTTAATTGTAATATTTTGATTTAAATTTTCGCGTTTGATTCAGCATCAGCAACCCCTGAATCATTAACAGAGGTCGAGTTAAACTATGCAAATCAATTCAGCTGACCACCAGAGATGAGATTCAGTGTTATACTTGCAGCATCATTTGCAATGAACATTAGCTCTTATTTTACAAATTTTCAATGGTCGTTGCAAGCAGGAGATGTTGCAAGAAACCGGTATATACCCAGTTTCCTTTTTCTTTTGTGTAATCCTTCAAGTGTCTCCTTGGGAGTCCTCTTGCTGGTGGACCCCACCCGACAATGATTCGTTTATACAATAGAATCTACGAAGTTTAGGGACGGCCCTGAGGGTAGTTGAAAGAGGTGGCTTCGTATTATGTTAAGAGTATTCTCGGTAAGGGGTTATATATAGGGCTAGAAAAGTGATGAATATAGCTTATTTTAAAGCTCTGAGGAATATTTAGGGTTTTATAAAAGAATCTCTTCCAATGAAGGGCTATTTCTTTCAGGTTTTATATGATGTTATATATATATATTTATTTATATTTATTTATTTATTCATGAAGTAATTTGATTATGTGATAATTTTTTTATTTTTTATTTTTATGAACCTTTCAACCTAAAAAAGTTCGAATTGTGACAAAGTTTGATTTCATTACTTATGAACCGTTTGTTGGATTAGAGTCTTTTATTTCAATCTCATCCATTGAAAGATACAAACTCCCACTTCGCCCTCAGAATTAATTTGATTTTCATACAACACAACAATTTACTTAGCACCAATTGGTAAATTAGTATCATACAATTTTGAAAAAAATTATTTGAAAATTTCACCCACTAATGGCCATGAACGTTAAATCAATTGAAATTTGTAATTTTATGAAATTTAAAACAATCATTAATCAGCCAAATTGAAAGAAAAATATGTAAAAAAAAGAAAAGAAAAGAAAGGAGAGTATAAATGTATTTGCAAGTGGAGGGAGTCATAGAATTTTGCTCACATGGAATACTACTTTTTTTGTGAGACCCATTATTTTTTGGGATTAGATGTCACCCAATTTTATGATACCCAAGAAAGAAAGTTGTTGGCCCCAACGGTGGATCTAGCCTCATTTTCCGGTTCATTGGGGATAAAATTTCTCACTAAAACTTGAAATATAGTAGGTTTATGGAGGCTAAAGGACCCATTGAAGATGCTCTAAGGAAACACAGAAGAAGTCATGCTGAAGTGGATAAAAAAAGGGCTTAGTACAAAAAATATATACACACACACACACGCTGAAGTGGGTAGAAAGAAGAGGATTAGGAAACACACAAAATAGGAAAGTCATGCTGAAGTGTATAAAAAGACAACATTTTAAGTTATCCTGATGGCTTGGGACTTTATGTTTCTTTTTTCAACTAGGATTCTTGTTTCAATTAGCGCTATCATGTTCACTATATAAACAGTTATTTGAGGTGTGTTTGTTAAAACTTATTGTCGCTCTTGTAGCTCGATCAATCGCATTCGCGCACGCACGCTCGCTCTAGCTCTCGTTATTCGTTAAGGATGGCCGATCGAGAGTTCATGAAGAAGATTCACACATGTGCTCTCAAAGTGACCTTCAAGTGTCCCTGCAGAGCCCATGATCAGAAATTAATGAAAACGATGAAGAAATTGGAGTCTATGAAATAAGTCTGGATATGAAGCATGGGAAGTTGGAGGTGATTGGCAGATTGGATACAGACCAGCTCATCAGGAAGCTTAAAGAGACAAAGATGCTTATGGACGTGGAGCTCTGGGAAGATCAAAACGGTTTAAAAAACGCTCAAGCTGATCAACTCAATAACGAGTTCAAGAACATGACTGTTGGTGTTGGGGAGAGTAGCAAAGGTACTCGCAAAGGTAAGAAAACAGTCAAGTTTGTTTTGCCTGACGAGGAGGAGGAATTTGAAGCAAGTCGTAGAGGAAAAGGCAAAAGGATCGTCGAGTCGAATTCGTCCGACGAGGAAGAACTCGATGCATGTGACGGTGACGAGGGTGACGGGTTTGATGACTGCGATGTTCATAGCGATGAGGGAGATGGGGCTAGCTCTATTCGAATGAATAGCAATGGAGGGAATAAAAAACAACGTGGTAAGGGAAAGATCGGAGGCAAAAAGGATACAGAGAGGAGAACTTACATGCAACGACAAAGCAACGGAGGAAAGCGATCGACCGAATCATATCGCCGGCCCCATGGGCAGTCATCCAATGGCTCCTCCATTATCAGGGAGGATGGTGCCTTGGTGTCCTTGTTACCAACAGCAACAGCGACACATGACTGGCGATGGAGTACGAACGACGCGAGGCACATCGGGGTTATTACGTGTACTCGCCGTCGCCGGTGATGATCTATCAACACAGAGCAGCAAATATGAATGATATGTTGCCACCAACTTACGGTCCTTACATGCACGCATGGCCGCATCATCCGCCCATGAACAAGGGATAACCAACGTCAATCGGTCAACTAAATTTCTTATTATCTCGATTCTCAATCGTGTTATTGTTTTTTGTTTTCTGTTTGAGTTGTTAGGTTGTTTGTTATTTTCCGTTACAAATTTAACAGATTTTTTCTTCTTATAATTATGTTATCAAGTTATTAATTGACTTAAGACTCATTTGAAAGTGCTTTTAAAATGATTAAAAGTACTTCCTGTGAAAATATAGTGAATCTTGAAAAAGCACTTGAAGTTCTTCCTAAAAAAAATTACGTAATTGGTGCTTTTTGCAGGAAGAACTTCACGTGTTTATGGAACCCAAAGACATTTTTTTCCGAAAAAGCTTTTTCAGTCATTTTAAAACAACCATTAATATTCAGCAATAAGTAAATTACATTCGTTGGTCTCTCGTCACGCTACAAATATATCAATGTTAGTGTTTGACAGTTTGAGACTGCCGCTGAAAAATCTGAACCGGCTAAAAGTGTTTTCTGACAACCAAAATCGCTTCTGAGGCTCTCCTGTATCAGTACTAGTAATAACACTACGATTCAAGGAACGAAAGGGAAGTTAGACTGAAGACCCGATCGCTATCGGTATACTATTCTCTTCGGGCTAGATTACACCACATTTTGCTCTTTCTGGCATTTTCGACGTTGCGCTATAAAAGGAGCCTTGCCCCTTGTACATTTCAGAATCCAACTATCAATTTTTGTTCTTACGCTGTGCGCTCTAGCTAGAGTAAGCTTCCGCCATGATTAACAACACGAGAGATGTCCAGCCGTTGAATACGCGTGCGCCTTTTCCCTTGCCGTTCCTCTGATCATATTGTTCCCAGAAGAACCTGGTTTTGTGATAATTTTTCACCACGTTTCTGCAACAGTGGAAACGCGTTTAAATCCAGTGAATATAGCAGGTTAAGCACAAAAAATAAATAGGGCATTACATGGGTAGAAAATGTCTCACAATACCTAATCAAATTGCCTCTCAAGTCATCATAGATAGTTCTCGCTTTTCTCTGTACGGTCCATCCACTGCAACGATTCAAACAATAAGACGGTTATACATGAAGAAACAAAACTTTGTTCTACATTAGGGGAGGCGTTAAGCTGCGTACCTCGAGAGTAATGATAGAGCGACGAAAGAATCATGTAATTCATGTTCATCCATATTGGACCCCTCCAGTAAGGCGCATCATGCTCTGTGTTGTATTTCATGTACAAGGAACTGTCAAATAAAAGATTAAAGATTTAGTGCTCCCGAATTAACATGGTCTTCAGAAGTCCGAGAAAATTAACTCAACCAAGAGACGAATATGGTTAACATATCTGCATACTTGATCACCTTGTTTTGGCAAGAGAGCGGAGTCCAAAATCTGTCCATAAGATACTCCGATTCGATATAATGTCTAGCTGTTTTTCCAATATCTTTGAATCCTATGATCAAACATGAAAGAGCGGTCTGAATGGTAACATGACAATAATACTAGATAATTGGTAAAATATTCTACCAGATGAAGAAAACTTACAGCCGGTATAATCCTTCCAATGAAGGGGAAAAGACTAACAGGGCCAATGTGAGGAACCAGTCTCAGCTTGGGGCTTTCCAATACCTCCCGTACAAGCTCTCGAGTTGCATAATTGTGTCCTGTCATCGTTTCTTTCCAAACTAAACGAACCTAGTACGATCAAACGAATGCCCAATTTTAGCATGAACTATTGTAACCAAAAAGCAAAAAGGCTATCCAATAGTAGACATTCACAACCAAGAAGAAAAAAGGAATTATATTTACTACATGCAAGTAGCATACCTTTTCTGTATGATTTCCGAAATCAAGATATGTTCCATATGCATCGTCATAGTGCATCTGTTCAGCATCAGGAGCATATAAGATATAACTATAAATACAATGAACTGAAAGTCTAAAAAAGTAATTCACCATGAAGATGTGGTTGTCGGACATGATAATCTCCACACAAATGTGTCATGGTGAAAATGCCACAATAAACTATAGACACAATAATGACAAACTAACCTGATTCAGTACTTCAAAATCCGAGAGTAACTTAACTGTAGCACCATATTCCTGCATAATTTTTTCTATGTTAAGTATTTGATAAATCCAAGTAGTCTCCAGATGCATTTGTTTCCCTTACATACCTTTGCAGACTTATTTTCCTTCTCAAACAGTTCTGCAATGGAATGCAAGCAATCTGCTGCAAGTAGCATCCAGCATCTAAGATCTACGTGACGCTCATCCTCACTAGGATGGGAAGCACGTGGATAATCATCCAATCCAGAAGTCAGCGTCTGAAGATGCCATAATACAATCTCGGTTCATTAGCAGTGTCTTTAAACAGGAAGTTTTACTTAATTTGATCCAAACCTGAGCAGCTGAGGTATATGATGACAAAAATAATACCACACTCTTGTAAAGTTAAAACAAAAGCAGAGACTGTTTTTTGTTTAAAATCGAGTTTTTAACAGAGTCCGAAATTCCAAAACAGAACCTTCGGGTTGAGTTCCCTATTTGTTATGTTGTCTCTCCCATGCCAATAGTAGCTGCCCACTTCCTTCCCTGTGTTCATCGAATCATACTCCAAATAAATAAAAGATTTCAAAAGTCAAAAACGAAAGTTGACTTTAGCAAGTTTGTAACACAAACACGTGGCCACAGCCACACACTCCACCACACGCATACAAGCACAAGCACAAATG